GAGCCCCGCATCGGGCTCCCTGCTCAGCGGGAAGCCTGCTTCTCCCTCTCCCACTCCCCCTGCTTGTGTTCCCTCTCTTGCTGTGTCTCTCTCTGACAAATAAATAAATAAAATCTTTTTAAAAAAGTGATATTTTAAGAGTTAAACCCTTTGTTGTAAACCCTCAGGATCCTTGCTATTTGACAAATATTTATTTAATAAATGTTTATTGAGTACCTCCTCTGTGCAGAAATATGTACAAAGAACTTGAAATCTGACTTTTAGGATGAGAATTTTAGCACTGAAAGTTATTAGTAAAATACCTTTATTTTGGTGATGAGAATATGAGGAGTCTTTAGGAGTCATAGTTAAGGTAACCATATAAATTGTCCAAATAAGGATACTTCTAAAAGTGAAGGGGGATGCTATTAATAATTGTGCTCAGACAACTGGCATAAATCAAGAGTGCCCTGAGCACACCGGAAATAGTGTCACCCTATGACCCACAACAAACTTGGAAGAAAGAAGTGACTTGTTTAGGGTCACTCAGTGGGCAGAACTAGAATCCAGGTCATTGGCTCCCAGTCCAGTGGTACCACATTAAGATCCTCCTCATTACTTGCAAACAAAAGCATTTTGTCATTAATATAGACAAAAATGGTGAAGACTTGAAGAAACTGCTGATAAAAGTGTGTGGCTTACCTCCACTTCCACTCTGACTGTGGCTAGGAAAAAAAAATAAACAAATTAAATTAGCGTATGAGTTATGTAGCTATCCGGAAGAGAAGTACCTATATTGAACAGTTATGCAAAAGAGAAATAACATTGCAGTTCAAAGTTATCAGGATGTTCTATGTAAAGAAGAAGAAACATTGTTCCTTATCATAATAGAAACAAGGCAAGAAACAAAACAAAGCAAACCTAATAAGAATCCAGTGATTGTCAGTACTACATAAAGTTTTCAAAACAACGTTACTGTTTGCTTTTAACATTTCCCGAGGTAGTTTTTAAATTATACATCATTGCATCATTCCATAGATAGATTTATGAAAAACAACCAACCAACCCACAGTAGTATTCCAGAAGTCATATAGAACCATTATTACATTAAACTCAATTCTCTTTTTTTAAAAAAAGATTTATTTATTTATTTATTTATTTATTTATTTATTTGAGAGAGAGAGAGCAGGAGCGGGGGAGGAGAGGCAGAGGGAGAGGGAGAAGCAGACTCCCCGCTGAACGGGGAGCCCATCCCAGGACCCTGAGATCATGACCTGACCCGAAGGCAGATGCTCAAACGACTGAGCCGCCCAGATGCTCCCAATTCTCTTTTAATATGTTATAGCCACAGCATTTTATCTTAGTCCAGTAGCAGTATATTCTTTTTTAAAAAGAGAATTTCTAAAAAGTTGAAATCTTACTCATGAAATCTTACTCTTTTTTTAAAAAAAGATTTCTTTATTTGAGAGACAGAGAGAGAAAGCGTGGAGGGGGGCAGGGAGAGAGAGGGAGAGAAACTTAAGCAGGCTCTACACGCAGCACAGAGCCTGATGCGGGTCTCAATCTTCCGACCCTGAGATCATGACCTGAGCCAAATCAAGAGTTGGATGCTTAACCGACTGAGCCAACCAGGCACCCCCAAATTTTATTCTTATTATTATAAATAGTGTGGCCCTCAATTTTCTAAATCCATATTGCTTGTATTTCTTATTTATTTCTCTAACATTCTTTATTTTCCCTATTTTATAATCATCTGTTTTCTTGCCTGTGTCTTTCACTAAAATGTGAGTTCTGCTAGAGCAAAAGAAGAGTAGATTGTGAGAACTGGGAAAATCTCAGAAGTCAGTTTTTTAATCCTCGCATTTTGCAGAAATGAAACTGAGGCTCTGAGAAATGAAGTGACTTGACCAAACCCACTTTTAATTAACAGAAGAGCTGACATAAGAACCTCAGTGTCCTTCCTTCCTCTTTAATGTTTTTTTGTCTTGACTTCACTGCACCCCTTGAAACCACCATTTTTGCCCTTTGGATAATCTGCCAGCAACAGATATTGGTCTGATATTACAGTCATGCAGTATTAATTGTACACTCATATCTGATTCCTCAACCTTGAAGTCAGAATAAAAGAAATGGGTCTGACACAGATCTACAGTTAATTTAGAAATAAAACATACCTTGTTAATGGAACTTTGTAGAAAAACAAGCTATAAATGTCCTAATATGTAAATAAGGAATTGATTTTTGATGAAGTTTAAGTATATTCTCCACTTGCTTACATACTGTTTTCACATTCATTTTGTCTGACACCTCCCTTTGAGCGTGAAGCAAGCAGTTAGAATCATGTGAAAAATTGCAATTTTGGTTGGCTGCCATTCTTGGCAAATACATGTCATCTTGGAGATTGTCATACCAATTCCCCAAGAACGGAGTTTTAATAATCAGGACCAAAGTTGCCACACATTATTTTATTTTTAGAGCAATTCTTCAACTTCTTATAAATAGTCTGTTTGGAATACAAGGCATTGACCAGATGAAGTGGAGGTAAGGAGAGGAATGTGCCAGAAAAGAGAAAGGAAGGAAAAGAGGGAAGGAAGAGGTTTGAGGACCATGCAGAGAAGCAAAGTTTGTTATGTGATGAAGTATTTGCATGTATAATTTCCTTTTCTTTAACGTCTCATATTTATTACAGAAATTGCTTTAGTTGAGAAAAAAGGGAGAAGGATAGCTGTCAGGACCTGTGCTTTTAAGTCTCCTGTCTGCTCACAGAAGTTGAAGTGCACAGTCAGCTCCCCCTACCCTTGGAGCGATCAGGGAAGAGCAGGTGAAGCATGTGAGGACCCAGGAGGCATCTAGAGAAGGGGAAGGAGAGGATGGTGCTTTCTCCTACTCTCGCCAGGGCCGGCTGTAGTCAGCATCTTCCCTTGTTCTACTAAGGACAAAGCCTGTTCTGTTGTGGGATCTCTCCCGGCAGCAGCTGTAGCTTCCAAAAAACCAAAACCAAAACAAACCCAACGTCAGACTTGTGTTTTCATTTTCTCTTCTTTCATTTTCTTATTAACTATGCCTAAGGGTGACATACATGTTAGTAACTATTGTGGTGCTATATTTGCTTCAGATATTGAGCATTAAAACTGTACACCTCCTCTAACTCCATTTCATTAAATAGGTTCTTTTTCTGCTACATGCTTACTAATTAGAGCATGTCCTCTAGGGTTGCAGTATCTCTGGACTCCAAACAATGGAAAAAGTAATAGTATTAGTTTGGGGAAATAGTTGCCTATCATGATTAAATAATGCTTCATTTTAAGAACATCATTCCTTTTCATGGATTTATTATTTTTTCCGGAGTGTGTGCATCATAAATAAGTATGTATTAATATTCCTGGGATTCTTTAATCTCAAAATAAGAGAAAAGCATTTTTTAAAATAAATAAAACATAAAGCATAAAGTATATATGCTGCAGATAGGCAGAATGACATAGTCATGTACAGAAAATTCTGTAAATCTCAGAATATGGCCTTTTAAAACTCTGACCTCAAAACTGACATTTATAGACTCCCACACTAGGTCAGAGAGTGTTTCTGATTACTAAAGCTGATTTATGATCTGTAAACTCCAGTGCATACATTACGTATTTTGATATATGTTGCATAATTTATGGCATATTTACCATAAATTATGCAACATATATCAAAACATGACAAGAAGGCATTGCAGGCTATTTAGAAAGACAAAGCTGCCAGAAAGCAACACAGCAAGTTTAATTGATGACATGAAGTGAACAACTATGGGAAGGAAACTGCATTCTTCATACATTTTATAAGTATATTACTATTTTGGTCATTTTACATTTTAAAAATGTTTGATAATTGAAGCAATTTTTTTCTTTGAAATGTGAGTTATGAAGGATGCAGACCCCATTTTTACCCAAGTGAAGATCCAGTGCAGATTATATATTTTGAGATCATAGTGGATGTTTCCCAATTCTACAACAGCGGCACAGGAAAACAAGGATTTCTAACTGGGCTGGAGATTTTCATCCTCTTTTCCTTCAACTTGAAGGGGTACGGCTTTACCCAGAAAGGGAGATATTGGAGGAAGGAAGGAACAAAAGGAGAAGGAAAATAGAAAAGCCAAAAGGGGCAGAAGGGACCAGGAAGGTCAGAGCTGGAAAAAAGAGATAGAAAAGGAGGGATGGAGAAAGGAAGCAGAAGACTGAGAAGGGAAAGATGAGAAGGAAAGGTACATGGGAGAAGATGGTGCCTCTCCCCTCCTGCCTCCTCCCAGAAAGGATGTCTTGTTCTGTTCCTCTACCCCGGGAAGGTGTTCCTGTGACTCCTACCGGGGGAATCATTCCAATCTAGTGGAATGAATGGGCCATGGAAATAAAATTGGACCCGTCGTTGATTCCCAGGGGTCATAGTGAAATGAGCTTTTACTTTTTTACTTTTAAAAGCAAAGTAGAGTTTTATTAAAAAGCAATCTTCTGGGGCGCCTGGGTGGCTCAGTCAGGTAAGCATCTGCCTCCAGCTCAGGTCATGATCCCAGGGTCCGGGGATCGAGCCCCACATCAGGCTCCCTGCTCAGTGGGAAGCCTGTTTCTCCCTCTTCTCCCAGCTTGTGCTCTCTCCTGCTATCTCTGTCACTATCTCTCTCTCAAATAAATAAATAAAATCTTAAAAAAAAAGCAATCTTTTTTCTGTTATCTTTTCAAATAAGAACAACAAAGGGGCGCCTGGGTGGCTCAGTCATTAAGCACCTGCCTTCGGCTCAGGTCATGATCCCAGGGTCCTGGGATCGAGCCCCACATTGGGCTTCCTGCTCAGTGGGAAGCCTACTTCTCCCTCTCCCACTCCCCCTGCTTGTGTTCCCTCTCTTGCTGTGTCTCTATCAAATAAATAAATAAAATCTTAAAAAAAATAAGAACAACAAATATATTTAGATTCAGAGATTTTAGAGCAAAAATTTTTATATTTTTAGAGCTGAATTTTATATCTCATGCTGCATATTTTGCAAAATCATATTTACTTTAGGCATAGCCCTAAGATCAAATCAGAACGAATATTAGAAAACTGTGTTTCAGAATGACAACGCATTTGGCAAGACCTGGCAAATGGCCTATTATTTTTTTTTTTTTTTTAAAGATTTTATTTATTTATTTGACAGAGAGAGACACAGCGAGAGAGGGAACACAAGCAGGGGGAGTGGGAGAGGGAGAAGCAGGCTTCCCGCCGAGCAGGGAGCCCAATGCGGGGCTCGATCCCAGGACTCTGGGATCATGACCTGAGCTGAAGGCAGACGCTTAACCGACTGAGCCACCCAGGCGCCCCTGGCCTATTATTTTTTAAGTAGTATTTGATACACACAGCTGAAGAGTGAAATAAAAGACTATGGAGTTTCAAGTGACCTTTCACCCACACTGAAGTATCTGTAATTGTAAATGGTAATTTACTGATAGTGAGCAGTCGGAAACACGGAAAGTAAAATTCTAGGATCTTAAAATATATAATGTCTGACAAGACGACAGTCTGATCTGCTTTACAGTTTGCATTTGCACATACCTGCTAATATTATCCTGCTCTGCAACATCATCATATACCTCCTGGTCATCTTCAATAGCTCTTGATGAAAGAGCACTGAGAGATGTTTTCTTTCGTTTCAGAGAATCATAGTCAATCGCGACAGCAGTTGTTCTAATATAGCCATCTACCAACAGGAGGAATGATTTATGGTCAGATAACTGTAGTTTCAATATCTCAAAGTTTTAAATAAAATATCAATTGCAATTTGCTCTTTAAAATTTTCCTACATTTCTTTGCATGCACTTCTGATTTATAGACTTCCGACGTAGACACATTTGACTGGACTTTGTCGAAGTCTTAGGCCGTCGTGGTTTGCAGTAAGCTTAGAGTCCACTTTAAGGATTCCAAAGTGATTTACATGATTCATCCCCTCCACCAACCCCGTTTAACATCAATGAGGAAACTAACGCCCTTTGTTCCTCCCTGGAATAATATAAATATTTACATTGCTCCCCACTAAAACAATAATGCAGATGAGGTAAAGATGGAGCCATCCTTGTCATTTTAAATTTTCCTATTTTTGTCCTCTCTGTTAACTACTCCTAACTTAAGAGAATTTGCATAATTAATATTGTCTTAAAAAAAAAACCCAACACTTTGAAGTCATTGGAAAATTTGCACTCACATGACCCCTTTGCTGTTCTGCCCAGCCATTTTCCTTCAGGGTTGTCTGTAATGCGGATTATTTCAATTTGCTCTCCTTGCTTGAAGCTCAGTTCATTCTTTCCTCCTTTGACATCACAGCAAGCTTTTGCCTGATGGATGACTTGAATAGGGCCTGTTAGCTGCAAAGAGGGACAATAATCACTACAGGCTTTCTTACTATTCAGAAAATCTTTTAGGAACCGAGTTTTGAAAGACGATAGGTCCATGACCTGCCAACCAGCCTATTTACAACATTTATGGGTTTGAGCTAGAAACTGGGGATGAATGTCATGCACAATGCGTGTTCTTCTAAGAGGGGTGAGGGGAAAATCCGAGGTGAGGCAGGACAGTAAGGAACAGGTAAGCATGTGCTTGGGGTCCAAGAGAGAGTAGCAGTGATCTGTTGACCTTAGAAGCCTGTGAAAGGCTTGCAGAGGAAGCCACTAATAACTGAATACCGCTTATGTACGACAATACATGCTGGGTGCTATGGTTTTTTACGGGATATGCTGGTGGTCCGCTTGGTAGGTGGAAGTTTTTTTCCATCTTTGAATTGTATGGTTATTCTGAATGTGCTCTTCAGACTTCAAACAACAAAGGGGAGGTAAGGAGGTGGTGGTGGGTTGTACTGTGGGAAAAGCATTTTCTTTGTTTTTTTCCCAACTTTATGGTGTTGTCTATCTGTAAACTCAGAGTAGACATTACCTGCTATAAGCAAGATAACATTTTAGAAATAGCTTTGTAAATAAAAAAAATAGCGAACAAATGGTATGTGAGGTTTTGAAAATAAATATCCTGGACAGTACAGTGGTTTCTTCACAGCAGGAGAATATAGAACTCCCCTCTTATCTGTGGTTACATTTTCTGGGGTTTTAGCTACCTGTGGTCAACTGCGGTCTAGAAATAGATGATTCTCCTTCTGACCTATTGTCAGATCAATAGTAGCCTAATTCTGTGTCACAAAACCTAAGTCATTCACCTCATTTCATCTCATCATGTAGGAATTTTATCATCTCACATTATCATAAGATGGGTGAGTGCACTACAATAAGATATTTTGAGAGTGACAGACCACATTCAATAACTTTTATTATAATATAGTGCTACAATTGTTCTATTTTATTATTAGTTGTTGTTAGTCTCTTACTGTGCCTAACTTATAAATTAAACTTGATCATAGGTATATATGTAAAGGAAAAAACAGTGTATATATAGCGTTTGGTATTATCCATGTTTTCAGGCATCCACTGGGGGTCTGGGAATGTATCACCTGTGAGTAAGAGGAACTGCTGTAATCTAGTTGAGAACATGAATCCTGAACTCCTAATTGCCTAATCCTAAATTTGTATCTTTTTCAACATAATTTCTTGGATCTTTTGATATGCAAATATGCATTGTGATTTTTGAAGTTCATTTTATTGAACTCATGATGTTTTGAATTGTGACATATCATCAATTATGTACCACTAAGAGAGAAACAGCTTAATTTAAATTATGATATGCCAATGATGTTAAGATGCATCTGACTTTCAGAATTTGAAAATGTGAAATGTTTTATGTCATAGATTTAATGAAATATGGTGCTATTGTAAGGTCTCACATTTATTTAATTTCTTTAATTGTAACATCTTTTAACATTTTTGTGGAGGGAATATAGCTTGTGAAGTCCTAGTCTTTACAAACTTTGAGTTCATATTTAGTGGTAAGATTTCCATACCCTATTTTTTTCTTACTAAAAAATACTATTTGAATGAAAGAATGAAACAATGCAAAATTGATTCCTCCAAAAGAAACACAGAAAAAAACTTCACCTAATTCCCTCAAAATTATAAAGTCCCTTCATAAAATGTGTTATGAAAACTTTTGTTTAAGAAATTAATTTTTCATATTTGCCACTTGAAAAATATGAACATTGGTACCCATACATCTGTATGAGTAAAATGTCTTAATAGTCATGCTTTAATCTTAATTTTACTTATATATATATACTTATATATATATAAGCTTATACCCTCTCTATATATTATATAGTAAGCTTTTTCAAAATTTAACAAGAACCTTAGCAGATATAGTGTCTTATGTACATTATTTTAATTAATTCCACAACAAACTTTCAGGAGAGGTATCATTTATTCTCACTTTAGAGAACAAAAACCAAAAAAGAAAAAAAAGAATAAGAATCTGAGGTTTAGAGAAGTTTAATAATATGCCCACAATCACATAACTCATACGGGCAGTTGGAATTTAAATCCACGTCTGTCCAATTGACTCAAAGCTTTATGTTTTTTCCAGCACCATGCTGTTGAAACTTTGTTTTAGTACAATAACTATACTGGGGAGTTATATAGAAATCAAATTTTTATTACTCAAACCATATATTAAATGTTCCAGAGGAATTAAATGTTTAAAGGAATCTTGACATGAATCCTTTTTATAGTGAAGAATAGTTCTGTAATTCATATAATCACCTTAAATATAGCTAACACACCAGACCTGTGCCAGATGTCATCAAAGATGGTGTAATCAAGAAAGGCTAGCCTGCCAGTGTAGCACTGGGGGTAGTAATAGGAGTCATACAGTTAGAAGTCAGAGATCAGAGAAGAGAGAGGTCAGAAATCCAGGTGGAAAAAGAGGGATGAGAAAGAGTGGGTTTCAGAAGTCAACATGTACATAAGCTAAAAATAAAGGCAAAAATATGTCAGGTCTAGACAACAGCAGTTAGAGTAGTTCATAGCAGCTTTATTCTGAGACAGGTCTGGGTCATCCAGAGACATCTGTGTCCCTTGCACCATTGTGATACATGCCACAGGGATATCTGTGTGTGTGCTCCAAGCTCATAGTATAAGCCGGTTAAGATCAGATGTGAAATGATGAGAGACAAGATGGGTTTGAGCAACTGAGTATTCATTCACTCAGTCACCATAAAATTTCCTAGGGGCTCACTAATTCTAAGCTGCCATATTTTATTTGGACTTTATCATATTACATTTTTAGTGCAGGGATAAGGTAGTTTATTGGGCAAAATAATTACTGTTATGAAGGTAGTTACTTTTTTAGGAAACAACAATTAACTAATTCTCCCACCATGTAAGTTTTCAAGAATGGTGCCCCTTTTGTGTGAAAGTTATAAAAAGAGATCATTCTTTTTTTTTTTACCCATCAGTAAGCAAGCTCTTACTTTAAATTTCTTCTTTATTTCTTGTTCTTTCTTTTCTCGCTCTTTCTGTTCCTTTTTCTCCAACTCTAATCTCTTCTTTTCCTCCTTTTCCTTTTTTTTCTCTCTTTCTTTGGATGCTTCTCTGTGGATACAAATTGTTAGGTTGTTTGGGCATTTGCAAGCATTGATGTGTTACAGCTCACATATTCAGAGGTTTCTACCCACAACAGAAAACAGTATCTGACTGTAGAGATGACGGTAAAAAACGAAGGGTTGTCAAAATTCCTGGGTGTGTGAGATTGTTCTTAAATCCAGTAGGAGGCATACAAATGAGGATACTTTCCAAAGGCTCTGCTTCCCCTCACAACCTGTGCTAGCCAGTGGTAGACAGTGCTTATAAAGGCCCTGTTCTTGCTGCATATTGGCATGAATACAATCTTTCTCTCTCTCTCTCTTGCATGCACTCACAGGTACAGGGCATGAACATGAACATACATGCAAACCTTAGCTCAAAAACTGTCATCAGAATTGGTTGTACAAAAAGCAGGTAGAGAAAATTAAGATATTTGAATCAAAAAAAGAAAAAATAAATTAACACGTATTTCTCCTTTCCCTCACTTTCCAAGAAATTTGTTAGTCCTGGCCTATCCAGAAACCCATTTTGGAGCTATTTTTAACATCTTTCTGCTTTAGCAGGTTGAAACTTTGCCATCTGGTGCTGTGGTAAATTATTTCTCACAGCACCCTTGTGAGGGGAATCACTGTCTAGGTGGGGAACTTGTAACATAAAGATAAATTCATTTGCCCAAGGACACAATGAGAACAAGAAGTCCAGATTCCTGGCTCAGTGATTCCCGGCCGCAGTAGCTGTGGGTCGCTGGCCTCTCACAGAAGAACATTTTTAAGAGTCCTCCATAAAATTCTTAGACAAATAAAGAAAGAATCTTTAGTCCTTTGTATTGAAATAAAGGTTATCATTATATGTCAGTCATTTGAACAATAAAGCTTTTCCCCCTTAGTGTTGAATATCCATCCATTCTCCCTCATAGAAATCATAATATTCATTTTAGAGGGATGAAATCATGGTAAAAAAAAATGGAGCTCATACATGTCTTCATATGTTTCTCCTTCACTGTCTTGTTCCTGTCAAGGAAAACATTAATAATAATTAATATTAATTACTCAAAAAGGAAACATTCACATATTACTTGATCAAATACTTAGTAAAACAAGCATAAATTTAAGTGTATATAAACTTGTCTTGTTTAAAATATTTTTTTTTTCTTTCAAGAGATAGACTGGAAGAGTAAGCACAAAAAGATCTTTTTTTATATTCTGCTATGTAATTCAGATGTCTAGCCAGACTCAAGTTTATGTGCAGTGCTACAAAATTCCTGTGAGTCAGTTTAATGACTGGTGTTTAATGTCTCAAACATTTTAGATGAAGTAATATTGTAAATGAAAAAATATCATTATTACTCATAAAGGTTTTCATTTGTTGGTTTATGTCAATAGAACATGAATCACAGTAATTGTTAAATATTTTAGTTAAGCTGTATAATATCAGAAGGGGAAAAAAAAACTGACCTCATCTGGATTTCCAGGACCTAAAGCATTTTTAAAAAAGAGTAAAATTAATATATTTTAATTAGAAAGCACTTTAGTACAGAATTATTAGACATAATATATTCAAAACAGTTCATAATGTAACAGAACTTACGCTTTATCAAAGGTATATAAATACAAAATAGAATATGTGGCTTAGATCTTTACTATGGCCTTTTCAGTACTTGTACTTTAACTGTAAGATCATCTCATTGGCTTTCATAAAATAATGCAAAGGCCAAAAAATAATGAAGACTTTTTATCCTCTTTATGAAAGGCATGCACATTTGGTTTTATGGGCTTATGTGGAACAAAGGTATTATCAGAAAATCACAACTAGTTTGCACTTTTTGACTTATTTGTTCCCAACGATTTGGATTTATGTATCAAGCAAATCAAGTTAATTAGGTTTTTTAAAAAAAGATACTTTACTGGGGCATCTGGGTAGCTCAGTTGATTAAGCGGCTTACTCTTGGTTTCAGCTCAGGTCGTGATCTCAGGATCGTGAGATTGAGCCCCGCATTGGGCTCCAAGCTAGGCATGGACCCTGCTTAAGATTCTCTCTCTCTTTCTCCCTCTGCCCCTCCCCCCGGCTCACTCTCTTTCTCTCTCTCTAAAGGAAAAAGATTCTTTGCCAGTTCATATCCTTTGACCACTTTTGTCTTGGAGTTGATATCTTTTTCTGGTTGACTTGCAAGAGTTCCTATGTTTTTCAGATATTAATCCCATGTCAGTTGCAGTTCAAGTGTTTAGTGATATCAACTAATTATTAGATATTAAGACATAATCTAGAGTAATAATAATAAAAACAATGTGGTGTTGGTATAGAAACACATAGACCAGGGGTGCCTGGGTGGCTCAGATGGTTAAGCGTCTGCCTTCAGCTCAGGTCATGATCTCAGGGCCCTGGGATCGAGTCCCGCATCGGGCTCCCTGCTCCTTGGGAGCCTGCTTCTCCCTCTGCCTCTCTCTCTCTCTCTGTCTCTCATGAATAAATAAATAAAATCTTTAAAAAAAAAAAAAAAGAAACACATAGACCAGTAGAATAGAGCAGAGAGCTCAGAGACAGATGAATAAACTTATATACACTCTTATAGACACAGTTATTACACACACAAATACACACATATACATACATAGACACACAGCTATACAGTTGATGTAGTATAAAGATGGCATTATAAAAGATTGAGAGAATGATGGATTTCAAAGTATGGTAATGGGAAAACTGGTTCCACAATTGAGGCAGTAAATCTGGGTTTCTGCTAACTCCTCAAAGGTGGACTGCAAAGACATCAAAGACTCAGATATTAGGGATGAAGTTCATAGAAGAAAATAGGAGATCATATTTCTATTTTTTAGGGATAGGACTTCTTAACTAAAACTTTAAAACACAAGTTACAATGTAATAATTAATTTGATTATATCAAAATTCATCTATGTTCAGTGAAAGACAACTTGGGTGAGAGAAGATAGTTGCAGTGTCTAAAGTATCAAAAGATTTGAATCGAAAAAAGAAAAAATAAATTAACATTTATTTCTCCTTTCCCTCACTTTCCAAGACATTTGTTAGTCCTGGCCTATCCAGAAACCCATTTTGGAGCTATTTTTAACATCTTTGAACTGGCAAGTTACAGAAGAGGAAACCACAAAGGCTAATACACAAACCAAGTACTCAAACCCAATAGAAGCAGAAATATGAAAATGAAGTGAGATATCATTTTATACATATAAGACTTGAAATTGGAAAGCTGAATAATACCAGACATTGGTGAAAGGTAAGCATCTTGGAATTTTCATGCCCTGCTGATGGGAGTACACACAGATGCAGCTTTCTTGGAGAGCACTCTAGTCCTAATCAGTCAAAATGAATATTCCATAGCTTATGAACAGCCATTCCACTACTGGATATATATTTTAAAGAAAGTCTCTCAGAGGTCCACATGGGAATATGGACAAGAACATACACTGAATTATTATTTGTAAGTATCAGTGAATTGGAAGTAAAATGCAAATGCATAGGATACAAACCGTGGGGTACTGTGCAGTAGTTAACAAATTAAATATACATATAGCAACATGTGTGGGCCCCCTAAAACACATTATGCTGAGTGTAAAAAAAAACGAGTAGAGTGAGCTATAACATAATGTTTATGTGAATTGAAATATATACACACATATAAGAGTATGCAAAGAATATGTACAAACAGACACAAACACATTAAATATATTAGAATATTTGTCTCTGGTTGGAAACAGAGAGAAGGGAATGGGTCATGGAGGTAAAAGGGAATACATACATAAGTAAAACAAGAGAGGAGTCTTGCATGGACCAATGATGACAATGGCCCAATAGTGACCCTATCAGAATGATTAACTCAAATTTCTGTATCTGAGGTAACAAACACATAAATGAAACATCTTTTTGCCCCTTACCATCAGAGAGCATCATACCATCTTGACTTTCTTCATTTACAGGGCTTCTGAAAACAGGAAAGAAGAGAAAGTAAAAATGGAGCAAATAGATGCTCACCTTACAATGAAAAATGAAAAAGAATAAAAGGATCATTTTTAAATTATTCTTTTTTCTTTAATTTCTGCTCTGATATAAAACATCAGAAGTTATTAGAATGGGCTTTAGCCTCATATTTATGCTGCTATGGAGGCAAAAACATGGAGAATCAGGGACCTTGAAGACAGTTCTGTGTATTCATAGTGGACACATAAAATTAATCCATTGTTTCAGGGCAGTGATATGTTTTCTGTGAAAATCGCAGTATATCAATACTTCAATTCTGGGATTCTGAAGGTATTTGTTTGTTTTTATCATATAGATACCAAAGAGAATTAGTTCTAAACCTTGACTCCTTCTTTCCAGATGTTTTCCACCTGGCTTTACTTCTGTCATTTGTGGCTTGGACTCCAAGTTGCTTCAATCCAAACCACTTTACTCCAACTGCTCTTAACAGTTATCAATACCTGGGCCCCACAAATCCCTAATGATTTATGCAACCATCTAGATTTTCTATTTTTCTCCTCAGGTTGATTAACATAGCTGGAGAAAATTGCTATTTCACTGATTCTTGGTATTACAAATGGCATTCAGTCTCAATGTTACCCTCAACACTATTCTATAATCTCATATACCTTTTCCTAGTGAATCTTTTCTCCCATCATCCTTCTCAATGGCTATTCAAAACCTTCACTACTTTCTGCAAATCTCTTGTCCCTCTCCTCTCCCCTATAATCATATGATCTTGTTTCTTATTTCACTGATAAAATAGCAGTTATTGGATGTGAACTCTTTTAAGAAAATATATTCCTGGGCGCCTGGGTGGCTCAGTTGGTTAAGCGACTGCCTTCGGCTCAGGTCATGATCCTGGAGTCCCTGGATTGAGTCCCACATCGGGCTCCCTGCTTGGCGGGGAGTCTGCTTCGCCCTCTGACCCTCCCCCCTCTCATGTGCT